CCAGGGATATCTCTCCTGCCTATTGTATGTGGCAAGGGGCAAGGGGCAAGGGTCAGGGAGGGCGTCTCTCCCTTGTCCATGCTGCCACACTACAGACAAGTTGTGAGGCCAGCTCTCCCATGCTCACATCTTTGGGGCCAGCTCACCCACACCCCTGCCATCCGGGTCAGCTCTAGTGCTGCCCGGGTGAGGTGCAGGAACTGCTCTCTAGAATGCTGCTGCAGGTGAAAGGCAGGGCTAGCTCTCCCCTAGTCTGATGACATTGGGTCCAGATTTCCAGCCTATTGTAGGTGTCAAAGAGTGGGGGAAGCATCTCTCCCTTGCCCATGTCACCATATGGCAGACAAATGGTGGGACAAACTCTGCCATGCTCACACTCCTAGGACCAGCTCAGCAGTGCCCCAGGTACCAGTGTCAGCTTTACTGTGTCGTTCATGTATAGGACCTTCTTTCCTCATTGCTTCAGCTTATAAGGAGCAGGGTCAATTCTCCTACTTTCATGACTGCAAGGGCCAGGTCTCCTTCCTGACATGGGTGGTTAGGGATGAGGGGGCAGGAATGTAACTCTCCCTTGTCCATGCCATTTCATTCAAGACCAGTTGTAGTGCCTGCTAATCCATATTCATATTCTAGGGGCTAGCCTACCCACAACTTCAGCCATGTGCAGGAGCCTCTTTCCTGAGTATTGCAGTTGCCTAAGAGCAAGGTAATCTCCCTTCTCCTCCAAGGACCAGCCATCCCTTGTTACCCAGGTGAGGAGTGGGGCAAGTTCTGCTCAGCTCTCAGATATTAACATATTCCCAGGTGGTAGCCCAGACCAGAGGCATCTGCCTAGCCTTTAATAGTAATAGACCCCTAATGCTGTAGCCCCACATATCTAGATGTGTTTCCTGGTGACAGCAAAGGCCAGGACCCCACCTTGGTCCCAGAAGGCATCACAGGTTAATTACATCAGGCTGTTCCTCACTATTCTACAGACTCCATCCAGTTCTCCCCTAGTTTATTGTGCCCACATTCTTTTGTTTCTCTTTCTCTTCTATTTCTTCACCAAGTACTTGTTCCTCTATGTGGTGCCCAGGAATCTGAGTGTTTAAGATTATTTCAGGAATGGTCCCAAGAGTGGTATCCTCCACCCTTGTGTATTATGTTGCCAGACAGGGGTAATTTATGGTATGGTTTGGCCCCCAAGGCCTGCATGTTGCCAGACTGGTGGTCATCTCAGGGTAGCCTCCTGTCTGGGACCCATGCCTTCGGTCTAGTGTTTGTCTCAGACTTGCTCCTTACCCAGCTAGTCCAAGTGTCCCCTTGTGAGATGTCATCTGTCTTGTTCTGGGATCTCATAAAGGACTGCCTAACACCAGATTGGTGATTATCTCAGGTTCACTTTTTTCAGAAACTATTTGACTACTAACCATTCAAATGTTCTTAGGTCAGAACAGTGAACATATACATGGCCTCTCTTCTCTCTGCCAGCTACTGATCCACATGTGACACAGCAACATCTGTAACACCTCTAGGGACAATGAAGTTTTCATTTTTTTTAAAGTTTTATGGTTAGCAGGTTCCCTAAGAAAGGATCAGCATGAAGCGACTATGTTTTGTGAGTATTGCTTCATGACAATAGTCATAATAATGTACCCTAACGACTGAGTTTTTGCCTTGTTAAATATAAATTTTAATTTCCTTTTTCTAGTTTAAGGATATGAATTATATTATTACAATTTACTTGTCAAAAGCATCACCATGAAGAGAAATGGTGATCTAATTTAATTTTTTTATAATGTATATATTCACTTTTCAGTGAATGAAACTATTACTTAAAACATAGTTTTTAGTTTCAATGTAATTATAATTCACATTTGTTTAGATTTTCAAAGGATTGATTTCTTCTTTAGAGGTCACAATAAGGACTAGTTCATTTTAATGGGTCAGCATTATTAAACGCATTTGAAATTTTCAGATATTTTAATACAATATTTAAATACTTTCTCCTGTATTGGTTTGATTTTCTTCCCATATTTTTTTCTTTAAAATACCAAACAAAAGCATGTGAGAGCATACAAGCAGACTGCTTGTGCCCATGCACACACACACACACACACACACACACACACACACACAAATACACACAAAAACAAAAAACAAAAAACAAAAAAAACATTGTTTCAGTTTTGTGTTCCCCACCTACTCCTGAGCATGGGACCTGCCCTGATGTGTGGTTGAAGTGTCACTTCATTGAAGAAATTGGTATAGTTTGTCTATTTTTCTTATGTGGGGGAGTTGTTCTGAGAGACAAGGAGCATGAAGTCGGGTAGACGTGGATGTGGTGGTGGTGGTGGTTGGGAGAACCAAGGAGGACTTGAAAGGAGAGAAAATATGATTAAAATGTATTTTAAGAAAAAAAATGTGTATCCAACAAATACAAGAAAACTAAAAATATTTTAACATTTTATCTCTTTTTATCCTTTTCCATTTTGGTGCATTTATTTTACTTTTATTTCTTTATATTTAAATTCCCTAAAAACATCATTTGTTATGTTTACTTCTATATTTACTGTGTATAAGTCAATTAAAAATTAACAGCAGTTTTCATTTGGAATTTTGATTCCTTTAAACAATTGAGGTTCCTAATTCTGATCTAAGATTTTGCCTTTTATCCATAGCTTTTTATTTATTTTAATAAGCAAAATTGAGAGTGATGCAACATACAGTACTTACCTGTATGAAGTTAAAACAAAATAAACTATCTAAGGCAACCCACTTTTAATAAATTATTAGTAGGCTAATAGTTTACTAGAAGGCTTATTTGGGATTCTGGTTTGGCAAATTCTGGTCCAGGACTGATTGACTTTGAGGCTTGAAGCTGTTGGTTGGCTAACACATGATGGCCAGTATCATGTAGAATAGGAAAACTGCTCACTTCACGGCCAGAGAGCAAGAGAGCCTGAGGATGGGTGAAGTCTACCTGTCCTTAGAAACACACGAAGTTCCAAAGATATCACAACAGGTACACCAAACAGTGCAACTCTTGGGCCACCACATTTTACACAAGCCTTTGCAAAACATGTAAAAAGACAAATATAGAGCACATTGTTATTTCTGATGAAAAGGAAGATATCAAACAGAAAATGTACCATACAAACACAAAAGATGTCAGTCAGAGTATAAAGCTTCACTTAGATTTAAGAACTTTTTGATTCATTACAAAGATTTCCAGTGTTCATCAGTTAGAAGTCATGATATCATGATGAAGATGTTCTCTTTTTATCTAATCCATGTTTAATATAACTCATGTAAAATTTCCAGCAGGACTTAATAAAACATTCCCAGATGACAATGTATATGTGGAATTAAAGATAAATAATTACAGAGAATCACCAGAAGGAAGAAGGAAGGTAGATGTGATCCTAGAATCATAGCACTATGGAAGGCAATGTCAGATTGAGAGGGACAGGGCTCTCAGGAAGAGAACTGTAAGGCTGTCACAAAGACAGCATGTCAACTGGCATCATCCGAATACACTTTCCAGAAGCAAAGCCCTCATGGACAATTGGTACAGCCATTTCATTTCAGTTAATCTTGGTGACGCTGGCTGTAAATACATTTTAAATTTATGACAGATGATTGAGAGAGAATAATTACAATTTATAGAAAACAAAGATAATTAGAAAAATATACACAATTGTGTACTGATGTTTGAAGAATTGGAACCCAGGAAATGCAGTCACATCATGTGTTCATTCACAATATGTGCAAGTGTTAGTAAGATAGTGCTGTGAATGGTAAATCCATATCACAGAATAGAAAGTCAGCAGAAAGGAATTGTAAAAAAATCAGCACATACGTATATAAATCGGTTTAGAAATTTTGTCATTGAACAACTAGAGATGTAACTAGCATAAAATGGAATTGAGACTGGGACGTGTGAGTGGGAAACTGAAACACTGTGTGAGTGCACAAGAGAATGTTCGGCATTCGCATATTGGTAATTCATCTGCAGTATGACCTGCAAAACTATAGCAAAGTGTATAGAGACTGGTGCACAACTGTTGAAATCCATAGGTTTAACTAAGCTTAGAAAATTGAGACACCTTGCCTTAGGGAGATCACCTACAGGAATCCTCTTACCTTTCCTAGTCTTATTCTCATCAAGCACTATTAACTGATGGGACTGTCCGTGGTATGGCTTGTACAAAGCCTACATTTGGGCCTGTAGGACTCTTTAACCATTACACACATGTTTGCTAAATCTAGAATCAAGTATAAGTCTTCTATTGAGAACCAGTAACTAGGGAAGAAGCTGATCTTCACATGTATGCTCAGTCAAAATGAATAGATCAAAACACCCTGTAGCACCTTTGATATCCGTATTCAGATCTTTTTATGCAGAAATAGACCTTGTTTCTTCTAGTCTCTATTATTTAACGTAGTTTTTAAATGGTGTTTAAACTCCTAACTTTTTCTGGAAGTATTAAGTCCTAGAAAATGGTAGCTTCTTCTTGCTGCGTATGAAGGACCTGTTATCCTATATGCAGTTTAACACTCTGAACTAGAGTCATCCTTACGGTTGCACATATCAGAAGAAGAAAGCAGTGGAAGAGATAATTATTTCTAAGGAGTAAAGGAGAACTGGGTTGTAATTTTAGAAAAGTAACTGCCCTGAGAACATCAGAGAGGACAACAGAACAAAATTTTGTTGCCCTACAGGCAAGAAAGCCTGGTTTTGTTTTGTTTGTTTGTTTGTTTGTTTTGTTTCTGATGGATAGATGGAACCTATTCTTTGCTCTTTTCATGAAATACTCAGTAAACTCTCCCACATTCATTTTCTTCAGAAAATTTGCCTCGAAGAACACACACACACACAAAGAAGAAGACTGTAATTTAGGCAAGAACCACTAATGTTGAGAAGGGGGGCACATTTTTTTTTTCATAGAGACACCAAATGTCCTCACCGCAAATATAAAACACAAACTTGTGGCTGTGAGATTGAAGGCAACAGAGCCATTTGTTCAGAGGAAGTTTACCTGTTGACTTTTTACACCCAATATTCACTCTAGAATCTTCTCTGTTTCCTTAAATATTAACTGTATGCTGGGTGAGTGCTTCTGCTTTCTCACAGGTTTCTCAGTCCTCCTCCTAACTGACTGTTTCTGCAGATCCCTTCAGCCCCAGGGACGGACAGTCACCCTGGAACAGGAGCATCATCTACCCCGACAGTAGACTGGGGAGTTTAGTAGACTAAGTGGAGCTGAGAAGTGAGTGGAGGAGATAAACGATCCAGCCATGTCAAGGACTCTGCTATGTTCTGAGTTTGGGGTCACCTCAGACTGAGGAGGATGGGATCACTTGAAACTCTCTATTGGAAGCCACATAAACCCAACACCGGATTGTTGGTGAGTTTTCTGCCCACTTGCTGCCTTATCCGGCTTGTCTGGCGCTGCTCTGAATCCTGTCTTAAAAGCGGCGTTGTTGTATTCTTGAGAAAGCCTAAACTTAAGTGACAGGACATAAATAGCTGGAGAGAAAAATCTAGTTCAATATAGGCCACAGAAAATCCAACCCCCGACAAATCCCCACCCTCAAGTCCTCGACACTGGACTAGGTAAGAGCATTACATCACTAACAGCTCCTCCTATTGGCTGACGGAACCTCACAAACCAGAAAGCTGCTCCTGAACTAACTCTTTCTTGTCCACATAAAGCATCAGAAATCAGGATACCATAGGCTAGAACAAAGGCCCTAGGCAGTGACACTTTCAGAGCAGCATACCTTGCTGGGTCACTGCTCAGGTTTGAATGTTGCTTGGAGCTTGCCTGGCGAGTACAAGCAAGCTCCTGAAAAGTGGAAAGATGCTGGCTTGACTGGGAGTTGACAGAGATCTCCAGTGAACTAAGTACGCCGGCTTTCTTCTCACACTAGTGTTACTGCAAAGATTCTCATTGTAATAAGTTTTGACAAGAGCTGGCAAGGGGAGCAGGTGCCAAGGAATCCAACTAGTCAGAAGCATTAGAGACACTGTGGGCACAAGAGGATAGACGTGTTTCCATGGGAACCATGTGAAAGGTGTTTGGTGGTGGCTGTTTAGGAGGCTTATTTTCTTGTTTAAGACAGAGCTGAGGAGCATCTTGCTCTGTTTTCTGCTTCAGCCTGAGTGGGTAAATCCCTACTCCCCCCCCCATTCCCCAGCCTTAAATAGGATTTCGGGAATTTAATTTCTCTGCTAACAAGAGTAGCTTAAATACGAGGCACACCAAAATCCCTTGGGAGTAGCGGGGTATTTTTTGGCAGATCAGGACAGTTCTAATCACAGAACTCTTTTGGAGGGAACAGTGTTGTGGCCAGGGTCAGAATAGAATCTCTCTTTGGAAGGAAATTTAAAAACAGCATTTTGAACTTCAAACTCCCCACCTCTGCTTGGGTAAACATCCTTTCATTGTGTATTTTTTAGCTTCATGTCTGTGTTTTCAGATGCGTATGTCCTGGGAATGACCCAGAATCTTAGAAATGCTGAAAGAAAAAAGAAT